TCACGAGTGGTACTGAACGCGTGGTTGTGTTTAGTTGAGGTTGTAATGAACTTGTGGCCAACGACTCTCTCATTACAGCCTGAACTAAACACAACCACGCGTTCAGTACCACTCGTGATATTCCAGAGGGTCTTCGATACAACAAAAATCGAAAAGTGAAAATGAAATGAATTTACTAACATATAGACATCTATATTTAGAGACTTCTACTGGTATATTTTTCTTCCATTTATCCAACAATACACTCTATGACTCATTGGGATAGAGTGTTCATTTAGTTTACTTTATTCTGCTCAAAATTTTGTTTGTTTAATCCTTATTTATTGTTACTTCATGGTTTCTTGAAAATGACGAAAAGATTCCTCGAAAGTTCGAACTATATTTATGATGAAACTGCTAGCTGCTGTGAAGACAATAATAGCTTTATTCAAATGTTTGCCCATACAAAACTCAAACTAAGAACTGATATTCTTGCTTCTAAATTTTGGTGTAACAATTACATGAATTTCTTATTTTTTATTCCTTACTTTTTATTCAGTTATATAAATGTTCGAAGATAACAGTGGAAAATGCATAGTTTAACGAAATTTGAAAATGATTTATATTTTGGACGATTTGACCATCTACCAGATCACACATCAAAAGCGATCCGCGTCTTCATAAGCTCTACATTTTCTTGTTTTGTGTAGACACGACTGACGAACGTAACATTTTGATTGAAAGTGTTTATTCAAAATTAAAGGATTATTGCCTAAAAACATATGATGTTCAATTTCAGGTTGGTGACAGATAATGCTATATGTACATACTAATCTTCATTTTCAGTATTCAGATATGCGATGGGGTGTTCAAGATATAGCATCAAATGATCATTCTACAACAGATGTTTGTCTGAAAGAAGTTGATCGCTGTTGTCAGTTATCACTAGCAACAAATTGTGTGGTAATTCTTCTATAATGATGCCGAGTAACTAATAGATCTTAAAAATTTTCATCATATTTTAGATTCTAATAAGTCATCGATATGGAAGTCGATTCATTCCATCAACTATTTCACAGAAAGTGTTTGATGAATTGAAAAATAGTGTACATGATCGAACACAATCAACTATTCAACTTGATACATGGTATAAATTAGACAAAAATCCTCTAGAACCGATTTATATACTACAGCCAATTGATAAAATACTTGACAATAATCAAGCGGGAAATTGGAATGCAATGCAAAATGAAATGTTAGTGTTATTGAGACAATTAGCTGATACTTGTTTTCTAGAACAAAAAATTAATCAAAATGAGAGAGATGATTTTTTTATTTCAGGTACGCACTCTTGTTTTGACATGTGCTAGGGTAGGGTAAGATTAGATTTCAGAAAATAGCTACCCTACCTTTTGTCAACAAACAAATTGTACAGTATATTGTCTTGTTATAGTAACAGCCAAAGAGATTTATCGAGCAATGGAGAATAATCGACTAACAAATCAAACGAATAGAATGTTGTGTTTTATTCGTGAAATATCTGATATTGATACACACATGTCTGAGAAAGATTTATCAAAATATATGGATAGTGATAAAGAAGTTGAACAACTATTAAATACATTGAAGTTAGAAATTCAAAACACATTAGAACCATCCAATGTTAAAATTCATCGAGTTCGTATTTTATCTTTGAAGATCTCTACTTATTTTTGCTAGGAAGAAGGAAGAATACCCTGCCTTGCAACTGTCATTGCCCGTGTAGGGTGCTGACAAGTGTTAGTTTCTATAACCCAATATTCTCCCTGCAGTTGACAAGTTTCTGTCATGGTCACCCACTAATCATCAGAAGGTTAGCCTGATGCAGCGTGCTTTTGCTCAATTGCTTGCGCTCCCCATACATACTCACTACCACGTACTAGCTTTCCGAAAAGTCACGAAAACTAATAACGAAGAACTGTATTGTACTTCACAACGTAGACAGTGTACTATCGGACGGGTGATCTGAAGCACTATGACATAACTAATTTACCCAAGGTTATTACACGACTTGAACAGTATCTTTGAAGTACGTGATGAACAACATACCTACCAGGCTATAAAGTCTATCTTTATTAACATATATTGTATGAATTTTATTATTTTTCGTTTTTTTACTCTGTAGGTTGAATGGTCAAATCTGAAAAGCAAAGAAAACTATTTACAGCAATTTGCTGATGATTTTTATTTGTCTGTAAAAAATCAAATTGATCAATGTATGCAACAACAACAAATTGAAGTTCAGAAAACTCTAAATGATTCACTATATGTAGAAGTATTGGAACATGCGCTTCAATATAGAACATTGGTATCACGTTTTTATGAAAGAAATGATATTTTAGAAAAAGTAATTATTAATTAGACATAAAAATTGACAATTATTTGTCGTCTATGTTTATTTAAGATCAAATGTTTTGTTCAGTCGTCTCAGGAATTGCGACCGTGTGTTATCTATGGTGATAGTGGATGCGGAAAATCATCGATTATGGCAGAAGTGGCAAATAAAGTAAGAATCGACACTGTTTATTGCAAAAGACATATAAAGAAGAGTCCTTACTCCGTTTTCTCTGGAAAAGTCTCTAGGGAGTCACCAAAGGGATTCTCGAGAGACTTTCAAGAGAGTCACTATAAAAAATCAGTATCCTAGTCCACTTTTCCCTGGAGTTCGACGAGGTGCATGCTGGCACTTAATCTAAAAATTAAAAGTAAATAAATCTGGAAAAAAAAGAGCATGAGTTTCGTCGAGATTTGCACTTTTTATATACTTCTACAGACGCAAAACAAAACGGTGCATATTTTGTGCTAAGAAACCCCGAGGGAGTTCTTGAGAACTATTTTTCTTTCTTTCACTCTCTGAAAATCACGAACTCTAGGGATTTTACGGTTATTAAGAACTCCATGGGAACTCACAAGGATTTTTCTAGATTTTTCTTAATACGCTGTTAATGATAATTTGTTGTCTATTATTGTTTTAGATTTCTAATTGGTATTTTAATCCATTATCTGTATCTATTATCATTCGTTTTCTTGGTTCTACTCCGTTCTCGTCCGACATCTGTAAACCACTATTAAATATTGCACAACAAATCGTTAAAATTTATAATATTTGTACATTTGATATTCAAGATGGCGATTCGAACTTTTTAAAAACTCAATTGAAAAGATTAATGAATTTAATCCCAAAAGATCAAAATCTTGTACTATTACTTGATTCCATTGATCAGTTGCAAATAGATGATTATTATTGTACATGGTTACCATTATGTTTTCCTTCAAATGTAAAATGTATTGTTTCTACTATTCCTAAAATAACTAATGATGACAAAGATTTTGATATTCTAAATGAATTAAAAACGTTGTTAAACACTGACGAATTCAATGATACTCGTTTATTCATCGAAATAACAAAATTCGATAAGAATACTGCTTCGAGCACATTCAATTCTTGGCTAAATAAAGGTAAACGTACTCTAACAAGTATTCAACATCAATGGATCAAAAATAAAATTGAAAAACTTTGGCCATTAACTCCACTTGTTTTATCATTGATTTATGACCAAACATTACATTGGCACTCATACGATCAAACGATTGACAAAGAATTTACGGCAATAAAACAGACGCGTGATGCAATTAAATATTTGTATGATCAGTTAGGAAAGAAACATGGTGACGTGTTATTTAGTCGATCGATGAGATATATTCAACTATTTGGTGGCGTTAGTGAAAATGAATTAGAAGATGTTCTTAGTTTAGATGATGATGTATTGAAAAGTGTATTTCAACATTATTTACCCCCAATTAACGTATTTCGACTACCTGGTACACTATGGTCTCGAATAAGAAATGATATGAGCAAATATTTGGTTGAAAGAAACATCGATGGTACACCGTGCATCTACTTGTAAGTAACAAAAGCACTTCGAATTATCACCTCTTAGTGTTTTCTGTGGGAAAATTTTTAAACTTTCAATTTTATCAGAGGTCAGCGTTGTTGATAACTTATGTGTATTTAAAATTCTCATAGATCATGTTACATCATTGGTGGGACCTCCGGGAGACGTGAGAGGATTTTAAACGAGCCTTCAGCGAACCCTATCATATATTTGTTTTTTCTCACGTATATAGATAGCCTAAGTTAGAGATATGTAGGACATCCTTACCCTATCCTACTCTGCAGGGTAGGATAAGGGCTACGAAGTCACAAAGTAGGGTAGGGTCATGGCTCTAATGTCGCCTGAAGTTCCAGGATTGTTTGTTTGACAAATCTGGATGAATTATATCACCGCTACAACACTGAAGTCGGTCGCGAAGATTATGCTCGTAAGAAAGTTTAAAAAATGATGATTTCATCTATGATTTATATAAAAACATAAAGAAATAATTTCATGAAAAAGTCAACATTTTCAAAAGGTAGATATATTGTTCTAAGGTTACCTGAAACCACAGGGTAGGGTAGAGACAGGACTCAAATCATTTTCATAAGGTAGGACCAGAGATCCAGAAACAGTTACCGTGCACATCTCGGCAGTATCAGATAATTCTGCTACTGGAGTGAAATTCTGTGACGAAATTTGGACATTCTGCTGTGTTTATATTTTTTAACAAAAGCACATGCAGTACTGTGGTACATCCAGAATTGTAAAGCAAACGTTTCTCTACCAAATGAGGCGTCTCGAGGCTCTGTACGTTTCTTTGTTTAAAAAGTAAAAGGAAACTACAAAACGCCCTTCTCAAGCTTCATTTTGCGAAAGTAGCATTTCGTATTTACTATTTATTGTTTAAACAAAGAAACTTACAGAGTCTCGGGATGCCTCAGTTTGTAGAAAAACGTTTACCTTACAATTCTAGACGTTCTACACTTGCTCGCGGACACTTGCTCGCCAGGACACTTGCTCGCTAGGACATTTGCTCGCTAGGACATTTGCTCGCCAAAGAGAAATGTGTAACAATAAATTACTTAAAATTTGTGGAAATTAATTTAATTCGCATAAAATGATGAGTTATAATAAACGCTGTATCCCTATAAAAGCGGTACCACTTCCAGTACAGTTCACTATCAAAACAATCATGTCAATTACTATCTCTAAAACCTCGAAGAACGCTCCACTACTTATACACAACGGCTTTTCATACATTATTGATCGAAGAAATGATGAAAAAATATTTTGGAAGTGCGTACATGCGAGAAAATATGCCTGCCATGGACGATTACATACAGATTTAAGCAATGTATTCATTAAGACTGTTGGTGAGCATGAAAATCACACTGGAAATCCACGTTCTGGACCAATTCGGCAGTAATATGAACGATTACAAGGGGAATCACAACAGAATCAAACAAATCCTCATAATATTTTGACACAAACAAATATCGGTGTTCCGGATGAAGTGCGTATTCAGCTAGCAGGCATAATATAATCGGTGAATTTGGGAGATAGCGTTTGAGTACAAGTAATCAAGTTAATTTCCAATTTTTGGCGAGCAAGTGTCCTAGCGAGCAAATGTCCTAGCGAGCAAATGTCCTAGCGAGCAAGTGTCCTAGCGAGCAAGTGTCCTGGCGAGCAAGTGTCCGCGAGCAACTGTCCGGCTCCCCTACAGTACTACACACGCTTTCGTTAAAAAGATATAAACATAGTTAAATGTCAAAATTTCTGCACGGAATTTTATCTCGGTAGCAGAGTTATCTGGCTATACCAGTCTCTAATCTAAGTGATCTTTTCCAAAATAAAAATACTCTCACCTCTTCTTACCCTAGTAGCATTCCTGCTTCATTTCGCGGCAAGAATACAGCCTCATCTTGCCGCGATTTTGACAAGAAATTTGAAACTTAACGCGGGATCCATACCGCGATCGTACCTAATCTTGCTATTTTTCCCGTGTAACGAAAATTTGACAATCTTGACGCGAAAAGTTTTTGACGGGATCGCGCTGGAATCCTGCAAATATTCCAACGGGATCCGGATAAGATCGTACCAAGGTCCCGGTATGATTAGAACAAGGTTGTAGGAAGACTGAGAAAGCTTTCCTACCACTCATCTTATTGTCACTACATTCTTTTGGTGGTTTAATCTCTTTTCCCCCAAATTTCATCATGTTTTACTCGGTATTTCCTTCGAGAACATGAAGTAATTAGAGATTTTCTCCTAAAACATCTTCAGAGTACACAGCAAGCTATTTTTTTTGTTTTCAGTTATACGCTCCATTTCATTTCAACGTGACAAAGTTGAACTATTATTAATTTGCTTATCTAAAGTGTGATATTGTTTTTGCCGGTGAGAAGTTTCATCTCAGATGTATGTTTAGGTTCTTCATCGGTGTATTTTTCAGTTCTGATTCGAAACGTTACTGCCATGGATCTCAGAATAGAAGTAAGAGGGATTGTCTTTGTGTTTCATCTGTGAGTTGTGCCAATAAGTTTACGTTTACCGTATATGAAGAAAACATTCACTCTTGAACTTCCAGTGAATGTGTATATGTAGATACTTGACACTCGGAACAGTTCGTTGCTAGAGCCAGTCTAGCGTCCTGTGATTGAGATACTCTGGCTGTGCCGCTATCCTCTGTGCATCATACAGGATCGAAATGATCGTTGCTACATTCTGAAAGACTCAAACGGCAAAGCGATCTTACACCGAGGTAACCCACAATTTGCGATACTTCAATGTTGTGCATTTCTCTCACTGTTGTGACTTTTCATTCTGAGATCTCTGCACAGTGAGCATATTTAACTGAACCTACACACCGGAGAAGACTTTAAATTTGATGTATTGTCTGAGAAAGAATATTCTCTTTCGATTCTAAAACTGTCAAGAAGAAAATAATTCAACTTTGAGACAAAAAAAACTAATTTTCCTCTCCGAATGCTCTTCTCTCTCGAAAATTGTTGTGTACTTACTGATGATGATAGTCAAACAGTTAGTCTATTTTCATTAACTACAACAAAACCCAAAAACACTCGTTGCACTGCGTTAAAAAGTTAAGAAATTACTATAATTGACTTGTATTGACTTACTTTGATAGTTTAAGGAACAGAATGATATAATAATAAAAAATTTTCCTCAACGGTGGGCAAAGGAAAAATCTCCTCACGATCTTTCTCGAATTAGACACGATCTTGCTATAATCCTGCCGCGATCCCGTCACTGTCTTGAAACACAAATGGAACGGGATCGCATAACGAACTTGATCAAGAACGCGATTCCAATCATAAGATCGCGATTTTATTTTGTCAAGATCAGCATTTTCTCGTTACACGGGAAAAAATCGGGATCGCGATCAGATCTCAGCAAGAATGGAACGGGAATACCATTAGGGTACTTTATTATTTGGATGTGATATTGGATTTTCCATGTACTCAATGCCTTATTCCATCAAAAAGTTTAAAAACCTGATAGAAATCTACTTTTGGTGAAACAACTCGTTTTAGACTATTGTCATACAAAACTGAAGAATTCATAGCTCACTCAAAATCAGTGCATAGCAGTTTAAAAATTCAAAATATACTCTATTTCAAGTATTATACATGGTCGTGTGGTTCAAAGAGCGAAAAACATCTATGACTTCTTAGAAAGTTTCCTAGAAAATGTAATACGAATACCTGTGGCATTTTTCTTTCACTTTACTGCACTTCTAAATTTATCGATGTGTAAAGCAGCTCAAATTGTACTGAGTTTATAATATAATATACTCTAAACCAATTTTTTGAATTGCAAAGTTTACAATTTTGCATGAAAATAGCCGAAAAAATTCATATAAAGTAGCCTTTCACTAAGTTTTAAAGGTTTTGATGGAAACAACTATTATCATGAGATTTATGTTTCAGTAGTTTTGTGAGTCTCACAGATCATATAACTAAAGCATAATAGATGAAGAGTTTGAACAGTTTTCATCTTTTAGAGAAGAACCTTGAGCTATCTTCCCATGTGAAAAAACAAATATATTGATATTTCAAATTTCAAAAGTCTTTTTAAAAATGGATTTTTTGAATAGAATCTGTTAAAGTTTGACATTCGACAGAGCTTTTTGATTTCCTGTATGAACGATGTCTTCATGTTCTCTAGTGATCGAATGACCATAAGCTTTTAGCATCTGTTCATCAAAGATTATGGCCGTTCATTCTATTTTTTCGTCAATTGATACTTGAAACAGAAGAGAAAGCTATTTTGGAACGAAATCGAATTGAACTCTATGCTGATATTTGGAATAACAAATTGAGACCGTATGAAATTACATCAAAATTAGTTGAAAAATATCGTCTACAATCAAACGTATTACAGACGAATCGTGTTTTAACCAAACAACAACCGTTGATAATTGATCAAAAACGAAAAGTATCGAACAAACGAAAAATGAGCCAATTGGCACAAAATATTGCCCGATATGATTTTAGTCATCCATATACCGTATTTCATTATACTTTTATGCATAGTTATATAAACTTTTATAAATTACGAAGTTTAATAATTAATTTTTATATGGGCGCACTTCATCCATCATCAGAATTACATATTCTTTTAAAACTATACGAAATGTTGTATGATATATTTGATCAATATTCAAATAATTATGGTATTGAAATATCTTCACGTTTATTACCGTTGATCAATAATATTGTTCATTTTCCATATTTATCGAAGTTAGTTCAACAATGTGATGAATATAGTTTGAAAACATGTGCACTAATTATTCCTTATCATCAATATATTCGTACACCATGGAATAGTTACATTTATCATATTAAACAACATTCATCAATTCATCAACTCTATTTAGAATGGCGACTCTTTGTATTGTTGAATAATACCTTGACAATTATTAAGCCACGCTCACATTTAATGGATCATCCATTTGAATTGAATTTACCTTCAATGAATACGAATACATCGTTTAGAGTCGATCATCCATATGTGTGTGTATATTCTACAAGTTCACTCATTATTTTTAATTATGAGAAATTAGTGACCTGTTTTCAAATGAAAAATACGACTATCAATGATTGGTTAAATGTTGATTTATTTGCCAATGGCCTCATCATAATTTGTATGAAATTTTCAAATTATATTGAAATATGGAATTTTAAATCAGATCAAAAATTAGTCTATAAATACGAATTTATAAATGAAATTATCGATTTTCAAATATGTAACATGAGTTTTAGTCATAAATACACTATTCTTAAAGTTATTCTCAATTCTGGTCATACTAAATATTCAGCACTACTCACTGATATGAATGAAATACGACTAATTCATATCTGTGAAATTAGGCCAACATCTTTTCATCATTCCACATTATTAAATCCATGTACAGATATTTATCGTAATATTGACAGAAAACAATTAACTGTGTATCAATTACCTTATATAACTGAACAATTTGTAAGAGACAAATGTGAATTGAAAAGTCATCATAGTACAGTTTCTGTCTATGAATTTTCTGCACACACTATGGAACCCATTGTTCTTGATATGCATTTAATAGTCAGTCGCTTTTTTCATCTCTCACATTCATTACAAAAATCATTATTTGCCTTTTCGACAATGTCAAATTTGTATATTCTTCATAGCTGTGATTGTGAAAACAAAGATTCATATAGAATTGACGAAAATTATTTACCAATCACATATGATTATGTTCAAATACCTGGAAATTATAAATTAGTACAAACAAAATATGCAAATAATTTTAAAGAAGATAACTATTTACTTTGCGTTAGTGAGCGAACAATTTTTATATACGAATGGAATTGTAATAATCAGTATGTTCATAGTTATCGTTTATTGTCTCAATTCACTGTTGATTCAATAGTTTCTATAACAAATGCCGTTTTTACGATAGATCCACTCGATGGTATAACTGTCTTTTGTAGTTTTGACAATGGTGAACTTTGTAAATATAATGCAACGATGATGGCATTTCCTATTACGATTAATCCTACTGTAGCAAAGGTAGACGAACCGATAGCGTATTTATACCTTGTAGATAATTATGCGATTACGCTTAATAAAAATAGAATGTAAGTAATAAATTACTAATAAAAAATTAGCTGAGTTTGAACAGTTACGCAGTTTTATTAGAGCTAGATCACAGTTTCAATCATCTAGGAAAAAACTGTAAATTACTTTTCACGAATAGTTTGTTTCTACTTTTTTTTGTGCTTCTTATTGATTCAACACTGAATATTAGTGTTTTCAAGGTAGGACTGTGACGTAACTGTAACTTTTGGTGGGTTATCCTTCCTGATAACGGTAACGGGTAAGCAGTTACCGTTACCAAGATGGACAACTGTTCAACAGTTACCGTAACCGAGTAACGGTAACTGTTAATTGTCACAGCCCTATTTCAAGGGTGACTCAGATCATTACACGACGGTGAAGGCTTTGAGATACTCCTGTTCATCGTGTCACTGTTTTTGAATATTTCTAGTAGTCACAGTTATTCAGTTGTTGGGCGATTCTGAATTGTTCTTAAAATTTAGAAATGTTTGTTACTTACACGAAGCTTTTTCTTCTAATGACTAAACCAGTTGTGAAAATTGATCAGCACACAGTGGGCATTTTTTGCCAGAGCAGGCGGACTTTAGCTTTATGAGTGAACTAAAATTTCATGAACCATTTTTTTATAGGTTTTTCATGATCCTCTTTCTAATGGCATGAGAGTTGGATTTTGAAA